ATAGCTCAAATATTATATAATAAAAAAATTCCTATTCCGTTTGTATATCTTAGAGTTAGAGGCAGTCAGAGAAATTACATCAAATTACAATTTGAGCATTTAGAGAGAGCATTTGGTTCTGAGGTTAACTAAATGCAGCAGCTAAGTAACATGTCTCAGACACCTCAACCACAGTGGTCTTTTGGTTCCTCAATACTGACTCACAGGCAGGGCACCTTGTCACCTAGGGCCCTCTTAGTCATGTACTTTGCCTGAAATGTGCCTACCCTTGATCTTTACTGTCTTGTAAGTAGCCCTTAAGTGTCACTGCCTCTGTCTACCTAATTTAAAATGGACACTCAATTGCCGTTCTGTCATACCAAGCTATTTTCATTCTCTGCATGAGTCTCTGACATTTAAAAAGTATATGTCTTCATTCCAGAAGCTTTGTAGAAAATGTTCGAGACCAGCCTGGCCAACATGGTGAAACCCCATCTCTTTTGAAAATACAAAATTAGGCGGGGCGCGGTGGCTCAAGCCTGTAATCCCAGCACTTTGGGAGGCCAAGGTGGGTGGATCACGAGGTCAAGAGATCGAGATCGTCCTGGTCAACATGGTGAAATCCCGTCTCTACTAAAAATACAAAAAATTAGCTGGGCATGGTGGCATGTGCCTGGATCCCAGCTACTCAGGAGGCTGAGGCAGGAGAATTGCCTGAACCCAGAAGGCGGAGGTTGTGATGAGCCGAGATCGCGCCATTGCACTCCAGCCTGGGTAACAAGAGTGAAACTCCGTCTCAAAAAAAAAAAAAGAAAATACAAAATTAGCCGGGCATGGTGGGGCATGCCTATAATCCCAACTACTCTTCGGGAGGCTGAGGCAGGAGAATCACTTGAACCCAGGAGCTTGAGGTTGCAGTGAGCTGACATTGTGCCACTGTACTCCAGCCTGGGTGATAGAATAAGACTCCATCTCAAAAAAAAAAAAAAAAAAAAAGTAGACCAGGGGCCAGGTATGGTGGCTCATGCCTGTAATCCCAGCATTTTGGGAAGCTGAGGCTGGTGGATCCCTTGAGCCCAGGAGTTCAAGACCAGCCTGGGTAACAGTAAAACCCTGTCTCTACAAAAATACCAAAAAAAAAAAAAAAAAAAAAAAAATTGCCGGTCTGGTGATGTGCACCTGTAGTCCAGCTGCTTGGGAGGCTGAGGTAAGAGATCGCTTGAGTCAAAGAGGCAGAGATTGCCGTGAGCCAAGATCGTGCTAGTACATTCTACCCTGGGCAACAGAGCAAGACCCTATCTTAAATAAATAATAATGTGTAATTTTAGTAAGAGTTTTTGGCTTGACTCCTTAGAAGGGATTAAGATATACCCCATATTTGTAAATTAAGATCTGGCTGGGCACAGTGGCTCATGTCTGTACGTAATTCCAGCATTTTGGGAGGTTGAGGTGGGCAGATTGCTAGAGCTCAGGAGTTCAAGACCAGCCTGGGGAGCATAGAGAGACCCAATCTCTATCTCGTTAAAATTAATTTTAAAAAAATCTGTTTCCTTCACTGGGCTTAGTGGCACATGTCTGTAATCTCAGCACTTTGGGAGGCAGAGGCCAGCAAATCATTTGAGCACAGGAGTTCAATACCAGCCTAGGCAATATGATAAAATCCCATTTCTACAAAAAATAAAAAAATGTGGCAGGCACCTTTTGTCCTAGCTACTTGGGAGGCTGAGGCGGGAGGATTGCTTTGAGCTGTGATTGTGCCACTCATCTCCAGCCTGAGTAGCAAAGTGAGACTTTGTCTCACAAAAACAAAAGCAAAGAGTCTGTTTTCTCATTCTAATTCAAACAAGACTTTTTTGTTGTGTTTTTGTTTTGAGACAAGGTCTAGCCCCACCAGGCCTAGCTAATTTTCTATTTTTTTGCAGTGATGAGAGTTTTGCCATGTTGCTCAGGCTGGTCTCAAACTCCTAGGCTCAAGTAATCCTCCTACCTCGGCTTCCCAAAGTGCTGGGATTACAGCCATGAGCCACTGTGCCCGGCTCCAAACAGGACTACTTTTAGTGGTATACACCAAAGCAAGCCTGATCATCTTGGAGAATAATTTACAAAATGATTCGTTTAGTTGTTACTTCCAATAATTGTTTAGTTGAGGTCATAATTTGTATGGCACAGTAATAAAAGCTAACACTTCTTGGGTGGTTACTGCATTTTCCATCTATTATCTATGTTAATTCTCACTAGTACTCTTAGATATAGGTGATATTATATCCCCTTTTACTAGAGGAGGAAACTGAAGCTTGGAGGTGTTCAATTACTTGCCCAAGGTCTTGAAACTCAGAAAGTTGCAGAACCAGACTTTAAATCTAGGCCTGTCACTCTGGAGAACCATGCTGAATCAGCTAAAGACTACTGTACAATACTTGCCATCCCAAACAATGGCAAGTTTGTGTTACTACTTTAATGGACAGGGTGTAGTTAATAATGAGACTAAACTGGAAAGTTATATGCCCCGCATTCTCTTTACTATTTATTCATCTCTATTTTAAGGTTTATGAGATTTTTATTGTTAAACATCCCAAAAGGCTTCAGTATGGGCTATATGCTCATAAAAGGAAGGCTTATAATGTAGATAGATAGGACTTTTCTTTTTTAATTTTCTCTTTAAAATTGATAATCAGGCTGGGCGTGGTGGCTCACGCCTGTAATCCTAGCACTTTGGGAGGCCGAGGTGGGTGAATCACCTGAGGTCAGGAGTTCAAGACCAGCCTGACCATCATGGTGAAACCCCATCTTTAAATAAATAAATAAATAAAATTGATAATCACATGATTCTAAAATTATATAGAAAAACATTGAAAATTTTAACTCCTATCTATGTCACTCTTCTCTACTTCCCTATCATAACTTCACTCCTTGTGGTAACTCCTTTTATTAGTTTCTTTTTCTTCTTCTTTTTTTTTAATAGAGACGGGGTTACTCCATGTTGGTCAGACTGGTCTCGAACTCCTGACCTCAGGTGATCCTCCTGCCTCAGCCTCTCAAAGTGCTGGGATTACCGGGGTGAGCCACCACACCCAGCCATTAATTTCTTATCTAGCCAACGAATGATTCTTTCTGCTCCCTTTCAGAGATGCCTTTTCTACAAATAGAGCCTTTATTTTTTTCTTTATCTGCTTCTGATTTTCAGTGAGAAGAAAAATCTCTTTAACAAAAGTTTACTCGTAGTTCTCTACAATTTAGCACTTTTCCTTTGGGATGCCTAATTATATACTAGCCGCAAGAATTTGTGTCACAGGTGACTTTTTAAAAAATTATTGAAATGGGTGGGCCAGGTGCAGTGGCTCATGCCTGTAATCCTAGTACTTTGGGAGGCCGAGGCGGGCAGATCACGAGGTCAGGAGATCAAGACCATCCTGGCCAACATGGTGAAACCTCGTCTCTACTAAAACTACAAAAAAATTAGCTGGCTGTGGTGGCGCACACCTGTAGTCCCAGCTACTCGAGAGGCTGAGGCAGGAGAATTGCTTGAACCCAGGAGGCGGAGATTGCAGTGAGCTGAGGTTGCACCACTACGCTATAGCCTGGGCAACAGTGCAAGACTCCGTCTCAAAAAAAAAAAAAAGAAAAAAGAAATGGGTGAATTGCAACAGATCACAATATATTTGAAAATTATTGGCCGGGCGCGGTGGCTCAAGCCTGTAATCCCAGCACTTTGGGAGGCCGAGGCGGGTGGATCATGAGGTCAAGAGATCGAGACCATCCTGGTCAACATGGTGAAATCCCGTCTCTACTAAAAAATGCAAAAAAAAAAAAAAAAAAAAAAAAATCAGCTGGGCATGGTGGCGTGTGCCTGTAATTCCAGCTACTCAGGAGGCTGAGGCAGGAGAATTGCCTGAACCCAGGAGGCGGAGGTTGCGGTGATCTGAGATCGCGCCATTGCACTCCAGCCTGGGTAACAAGAGCGAAACTCCGTCTAAAAAAAGAAAAAAAAGAAAATTATTTGGGGTAGAAGAAAAAGTAGACAGCCTCTCAGCGTATTCTGTTTTTGTGTATGATTTTGAAGATACATTCTGTGACAGCATTCATTAAAAACCAAAACATGGGGCCGGGCGCAGTGGCTCACACCTGTAATCTCAGCACTTTGGGAGGCCAAAGCAAATAGATCACCTGAGATCAGGGGTTCAAGACCAGCCTGGCCAACTTGGTGAAACCCCATCTCCAATAAAAATGCACAAAATTAGCTGGATGTGGTGGTGGGTGTCTGTAATCCCAGCTACTTGGGAGGTTGAGGCAGGAAAATCACTTGAACCCGGGAGGCAGAGGTTGCAGTGAGCTGAGATTGTGCCATTGCACTCCAGCCTGGGCAACAGGAGTGAAACTCAAATGATAATAATAATACTACAATAAAAATAACAACCAAAACATGGTTCATGACTAGACTGGTCAACATAGTAGGATCCCATCTCTACAAAATCATCTTTAAAAAATTACCCAGGCATGGTGGCACACACCTGTAGTACCAGCTACTCAGGAGGCTTAGGCAGGAGGATTGCTTGAGCACAGGAATTTGAAGCTGCAGTGAGCTAGGATTGCACCACTGCACTCCAGCCTAGGCAACAGAGTGAGACCCTGTATCAAAAAACAAAACAAAACTTTTTTTTTTTTAAGACAAGGTCTTACTGTGTCATCCAGGCTGGAGTCCGGTGGTGCTGTCGTGGCTTACTGCAACCTCCACCTCCCAGACTCAAGTGATCCTCTTGCCTCAGCCTCCCTAATAGCTGGGACTACAGACATACACTACGACACCTGGCTAATTTTTGTATTTTTTATAGACGCAGGGTCTTGCTGTGTTGCCCAGGCTGGTCTCGAATGCCTGAGCTCAAGCAATCTACCTGCCTCAGTTTCCAAAAGTGCTGGATCACAGGTGTAAGCCACCACACCTGGCCAAAACATGATCTTTCTAGTAATTGTTGTCCACTTTTGTTTAAGTCTAATAGCTAACTTTCCTTTCTTATTCATTGCAGTTACGGCAGTCCCAGTCCTACTGCACAGACACAGAATGTCTTCAGGAATGTAAGTACCACTGAGACAGGAAGAGGGGTGACCTTGCGGGCGGAATTAGAGGCCAGATGCCTGTGAATATTTGTCAGAAATTATTCTTAACATTGCCTGTTCTGGTGGTTACAACAACAGAAAAGAATAACAAATACACACAAAAGAAAGAAATTATTCTCATAGTTTGCTCTTTAATAAGGAAATGGTTCTCAGTATGTATTTGCTACTTGACTATTTTATTTTTTAAGTTAAAAATTTTTTTTCATGCCTCAAAAACTCTGTTTATTGCAGAAAATTATAAAATAAGGAAAAAAAAAAAAGGACTGGGTGCAGTGGCTCACACCTAGTAATCCCAGCACTTTGGGAAGCTGAGGTCGGCAGATCGCTTGAGTCCAGGAGTTCGAGATCACCCTGGGCAACATGGGGAAACCCTGTCTCTACAAACAAAAATTAGGGGGGTGTGGTGCTGCATGCCTGCAGCCCCAACTATTCTAGAGGCTGAGGTGGGAGAATCACCTGAGTCGGGGGAGGTTGAGCCTGCATTGAACTGTGATCACACCATTGCACTCAGAGTAAGACCCTGTCTCAAAAAAAAGGAAAAAGAAGAACTTCCAGAATACTTAAAGATAATCACTGTTGCCGGGCGCAGTGGCTCAAGCCTGTAATCCCAGCACTTTGGGAGGCCGAGGCGGGTGGATCACGAGGTCAAGAGATCGAGACCATCCTGGTCAACGTGGTGAAACCCCGTCTCTACTAAAAATACAAAAAAATCAGCTGGGCGTGGTGGCGCGTGCCTGTAATCCCAGCTATTCAGGAAGCCGAGGCAGGAGAATTGCCTGAACCCAGGAGGCGGAGGTTGCGGTGAGCCAAGATCGTGCCATTGCAGTCCAGCCTGGGTAACAAGAGCGACACTCCGTCTCAAAAAAAAAAAAAAAAAAAAAAAAAGATAATCACTGTTGACAAATTCGAGTATATCCTAGTCTTTTTTCTGGGCAAATATGTCTATAATAGGACACTTTGGGCAGGTGTAACTGGAACATCAAAGCTGCTTGCACAAACCATTCACCTTCTTCCTAGCATCTATTTGCATCTGGTAGAAAGCTTGAGAATTCCTTTTTTTTTTTTTTTTTCTTTAAGAGACGGTATCTTGCTTTGTCCCCCATGCTGAGTGCACTGGTGCAATCATGGCTCACTGCAGCCTCGACCTCCCAGGCTCAAGTGATCCAGTACTACAGGGATGCACCATCATGCACAGCTAATTTTTTTGAATTTTTTGTAGACTCAGGGTCTTCCCATGTTACTTACCCAGGTCTCAAGCTCCTGGGATCAAGTGATCATCCTGCCGTGGCCTCCCAAACTGCTGGAATTACATGCGTGAGCCACCATGCCCAGCCACTTGAGAACTTCTTAGGGGGGGAGGCCATTCTTTCCCACGTGTGGAAACTTTGGGTGCCTGTGGTGTTCATTCCTTTGGCTCTGACAGTCACATGCCCATCAGGGAGTCTGGCAGTGGAGAAGCTTCTCCACATGGCTTTGTGGGCAGTAGTGATGGTAGTGAGAAAGCAGTAGGAAGATGGATCCTGCGTGGTGTATGTAGGTGACAGACTTGGTGGCCATTATGTGACACATCTTTTTTCAGGATACTCAAATATTTTGAGAGATGCTTTAAGGGGAACTAGTAAAATAGTATTTAAACCATTCCTGTCTTGTACCAGGAGAAGAAGGAAAGTATGACATTCACAGGATGGTGAGGCCTGGCATAATTATATGTCATGTAAACTTACAGAAATGGGATCACATTGCATGTGTTACTTTTCACTACTTATCAAATATCAACATATATTTATCTTACTATTTATTGAGCCAGGCATGGTGGCATGCTCCTGTAGTCCCAGCTACTTGGGAGACTGAAGCAGAAGGATCACTTGAGCCCAGAAGTTTGAGGCTGCAGTGAGCTGTGATCATGCCACTGCCACTCCAGCCTGGATGACAAAGTGAGATGCGGTCTCAAAAAAAAAAAAAAAAGGGCCGGGCGCGGTGGCTCAAGCCTGTAATCCCAGCACTTTGGGAGGCCGAGGCGGGTGGATCACGAGGTCGAGAGATCGAGACCATCCTGGTCAACATGGTGAAACCCCATCTCTACTAAAAAATACAAAAAAAAATTAGCTGGGCATAGTGGCTCGTGCCTGTAATCCCAGCTACTCAGGAGGCTGAGGCAGGAGAATTGCCTGAACCCAGGAGGCGGAGGTTGCGGTGAGCCAAGATCGCGCCATTGCACTCCAGCCTGGGTAACAAGAGCGAAACTCCGTCTCAAAAAAAAAAAAAAAAATTACTGATTAAATAATTCATTGTGGGGAAGCACCAGTGTGTAAATGGTTTCCTTTTACTGGAATCGGGTTGCTGATATATTTTTTGCTGTGATAAACAACATTTGAACAAACATTCTTTGTGTGCTTGTGTTGGGGAGGGCAAATAATTTTTTCTCCAACCTCAGAGTTCTTTGCTGAGACCCCCTATAACCAAGGATAGATTGTGGGACGCGGTGGCTCATGCCTGTAATCCTAGCACTTTGGGAGGCCAAGGCAGGCAGTCACCTGAGTTTGGGAGTTCCAGACCAGCCTGACCAACGTGGAGAAACCCCATCTCTACGAAAAATACAAAATTAGCTGGGTGTGATAGTTCATGCCTATAATCCCAGCTACGCGGGAGGCTGAGGCAGGAGAATCGCTTGAACCCGGGAGGTGAGGTTGCGGTGAGCCAAGATCACGCCATTGCACTCCAGCCTGGGCAACAAGAGCAAAACTCCGTCTCAAAAAAAAAAAAAAAAAAAAACAGAAGACAGATTAACAAGGGAAAGTTTATTAATGTGTGTGGCATACATCACATGGGAGAAACCTCAACGCAAAGTAACTCTGGCTCAGATGCTACATACAGGCTTATGTAGCATCTTTAACAAGAAACAATATATTTATGGAAAAAGGGCAGAACACAGAAAAGAGATTTTAGGCTTCCAAGGATAGGAAACTGGGAAGGTAAATATTTGGTAGGAAACTGATGGAGTAAGCTTTGTTTGCAGACTCCTCTGGTGCTGTCTCTGGGCCATTAAGCCTCTAGAGTTGGGTGTAAAGGAGAGGTTGTATTTTACCTTTAGGCAGAAAAGAGGGGGGAATAGAGAGAGCTTTTCTTCTGTTGGCTACTTCCTAATTGTCTACAGCTCAAAAATAATTTCTTTTTTCTTTTTCTTTTTTTTTTTTTTTTTGAGACAGATTCTTGCTCTGTCTCCCAGGCTGGAGTGCAGTGGCACAATCTCAGCTCACTGCAACCTCTGCCTCCCGGGTTCAAGCGATTATAATGCCTCAGCCTCCCAAGTAGCTGGAATTACAGGCATAAGCCACCATGTCTGGCCTCTCAAAAGTAGTTTCTATGTCAAAGAGGCATACTGTGGAGTGATATGTTCTGGTTTTCTTCACACATTTTAAGGCTATTTACATATTGCCAAATTGCATTTATTAGTAGGATAGTTGCTGATATGTAACATCTCTGAAGCAGAACTGCCTGTTTATTATGTATATGAAATTAAAACAATACACAGTAAGGTAATTGTAAAGAGACTTATACATTATGATTTTTATTACTTTGTGAACTGGGTGTCCCATCAAATTCTACAGATGTAACAACTTAGAGAAGTAGGAGCTAGTACAGTGTCTAGGCTAAAGTAGAAATTTTGTTGGAATCTAGTCTGTTTGGGCAACATATATGCCTTCAAGACAAGAAAGGAATAGAAAGTGCATGTGTTAGGACAATGGGTGGTGATGCCCTCACTCCAGACTTCCTTATGTTACTTCTCTAGTAGCATTCATCAATCTACAGTGTACAGTTCAAATATTTGCTTCAACAGGTAAAGCTAAAACCTGTTTTCCTATTGCAACTCCCCATGGGAAAACAAGTGTTTATTACATGTGTGGCATTTGTGACTCTTGAACCTGCTCCACCTATAACCAAATACACTCTTATTCCTGTGGGTAAAATGTAACTTCCTAACTCTAAAAAGAAAGGTGAAAGAAAGAGTTTGAACATTCATTTAGGAATATTGCCAAGTTTTTCTTTCTTCTCAGTTCTTTTAGAAGTTGGTAAAAATCCTTTCTGAGAGCTAGGCTTTTAAATGGTTGAACAATAGTTTCCAATAGGGGATAGAATTATTTTTCTTATATTCTAAATTTTCTCTAGTGAGTTTATACTTTTAAAATAATAAAACAGGCCGGGCGCAGTGACTCACGCCTGTAATCCCAGCACTTTGGGAGGCCAAGGTGGGTGGATCATAAGGTCAAGAGATGGAGAATATCCCTCGCCAACATGGTGAAACCCCATCTGTGTAAAAAAAAAATACAAAAATTAGCTGAGCTTGGTGGTGTGTGCCTGTAATCCCAGCTACTCGGGAGGCTGAGGCAGGAGAATTGCTTGAACCTGTGAAGCAGAGTTTGCAGTGAGCCAAGATCATGCCACTGCCCTCCAGCCTGGCAACAGAGACTAAAAAGTAACAATAAAACATATATTTTGTAGCTGTCTTTATATTTAAATACATGTGTTACTGTTCAGTTGGAAAAAAAAAATCAAAAATTGTTTTTTTCCCCCACTAAAACAAATGTGTCATTTTTAAAAATCGGTTTTTTATTTAAATATGCGTTTTAGGATTGTGGGAATTTGAGGTTTCTTAAGAATCGACATAAGCCTTGAGGCCGGGCGCCGGGGCTCGTGCCTGTAATCCCAGCACTTTGGGAGGCCGAGGCGGGTGGATCACAAGGCCAGGAGATGGAGACCAGCCTGGCTAACATAGTGAAACCCTATCTCTACTAAAAATACAAAACATTAGCCAGGCATGGTGGCACGTGCCTATAGTCCCAGCTATTCAGGAGGCTGAGGCAGGAGAATTGCTTGAACCTCCGAGGTGGAGGTTGCAGTGAACTGAGATCGCTGGGCAACAGAGCAAGACTCTGTCTCAATAAATAAATAAATAGCCT